TGTTGAACATCAGCTGTCCTTATACACGTGACTAGCTCCGTTAGGCTCCATTGGTATGTTTCTCAGTGGTTTTGCCATTACCACACTGCCTTGGTTACTGGGCTTCCCTTGATTTTTAAAAACTTAATTGATAAACCATGTATATAGTTGAAAACCTCAGGTCTCTCCAGAATTTTTAACTTATTATGTCTTATCTATTTATTATTATTATTTTATTTCCAAGAGGTTTTTCTGGGTTTTTGTTTTTGTTTTCGAGAAGTGGGGAGAGAGGGCGGTGGGGGGAGGGGCAAAGGGAGAGCAAGAAACCCATCAGACAAGGGGGCTCGATCCCACAACCTATGAGATCATGACCTGAGCCGAAATCAGGAGTCACACGCTTAACCAACTGAGCCACCCAGGCGCCCCTCTAAGTGTTTTTTTTTATAGTAGTTTGTAAATGTTCCGGTTTTAGGATGGCAATATCTTGTCTCCCTGAGAGTAGTTTTTGTTTCATTTTGTTTGAAAGTTTCTCTGCTTCTTGCATTGTCTGAGACTTCGTTTTTCTCCCCCACTTATTTCTGTCCCTGTGCCTTCCATCAGAGACTTTCTCTAAATGGCTGAGGATTCTGGCTGTGCATTCATATTTACAAGTGAAGCCGTAAAAAGCAGATTGAATGCTCTGTGTTTGGCACTGGCAGGTGAGCCTCCCTGCAGGGTGAGCTGGCAGGAACAGGGCCCTTTTGCTGGGGGTTCCCCAGATGTCAGTACTGCGTGTCTTACGGGCTGGGCTGTTTAATTTCTCCAGTGGGTGGGGGTGGGGGGCACGTGGCTGCCTGTCACTGTCCTGGGTACTGAGTGAGCAAGCGATGGTTCACGACATCCTGTTTCCAGCCCTCCCCTGACCACAGCTGCGTCCTCGTGGTCCCATCGGGAGCCCTGCTCTCCGGCTCATTTTCTGCTGAGAGCCGAGCTGTCTCTCACAGGACGGGGGAGGTGCTGTTTGAGGGGCTCAGGGAGGAAAGCTGACCTGACGACTGTCTCTTCCATAGACTTTGAACCCATCCTCCAGTTTTCGGTCTCATCTTGAGAAGCGCATGGCGCCTCCAGTTCCTGAGTCTTTCCCAGGTTCTGAGGCACAAATGGAATCACTTTTGTTGGCTTCCTTTGGTACGTGGTTTGGTTTCTGCTCAGTCCACTCTGAAGTCTGTTCCCATTTGGCCACCTTTCCATGGTTGTCTGCGCGCTTCTCCTACTTGTTACCTTGGGCAGGACAGAGATAGACGCATCCTTTCAGTTTGTTGTATTTGATGGAAGGACGTTTCTTTCCCTCCCTCCTCCCTTCCCTTCCCCTCTCCCTCCCCCTTCATCTGTGCCTCACCCCTCCCTTTCTCCTCTCTTCCTTCCCTCCACGACCTTCTTCTACCCACTCCCATATCTCCTCCCCTTTACTCTCCTCCTTTCTGCCCCCACCACCCTCTCTGCCTGGAGCCTTCTATGCCATAATTCTTCGGGGAGACAGCCAAGCACTTTATCCTCGAGAGGACACAGCCCATTAAGTGCAGAAAGGAATGGATGAGGAATTGGCAAACGGAAGTTCTCAACCTACAGATACAAGGCACCTGCCCTCCTCCTCCACCTCGATGTCCCTTCCCATCCCTCAGCTGCAGAAACCCATAGCGACCCCCTCACAGCCCACCGCACGCGCAGACTTTGGCCCCGTCACCTGTATCATGTCGGAGCCTCACGTCTGCGTGGCCGTCCCACGTCTGCCCACTCCGTGCCCTTTACCCCCTCGCAGGTGTCTGAGCAGGTGTGAGGTCCTGGGTCCACTCCGATCTCTGTGGAGTGAGGTGCCCGGCTCGGGTGTCCTGGTTCTGGGGGTTTCTGACGTTGGGGCTGTGTGTGAGGGTCCCTCCTCCTCAGGAGCGCCCAGGGCATCCTGCCCCCTCGCCCCTCCCCTTGCTGAAGGCTCCGGCCCGGGTATAGAGTTGTCAGGAGCCCGGCCCTGTGCTCACTTTCTTGGGCCGTCTGCCCCGTGGAAACTGAGACCCTTCTCTTGTGTTGTGCTCTACCACCCCCGCTCTTGCCCTCCGTTTTTGTTGTTTTTAAAACAAGAGGGTCACCCCTTCGATCAGCCAGGTGGGGCGGTGAGGGGCCCCCTCCACGGCCCCAGCCCTCCCTCATTGCCCACCTGAACCTTTGTCCCCCGAAAGAGGCCACCACAGTGTCCAGCTGGCTCTCGGCTGCGGCTTTTTTCAAACACGGAAGAGTGACTGTGGCCGCGGTCCTCATCTGCAGGCACTCGGTGGCTTTGCAAGAGAATGGGAGCAGCTGAGCAATTCTGTCCCCACGCATGCCTTCCCACCCTCCCTTTCTCTCTTCCTCAGCCCCGTAACTCACCCCGTTGACCCCGGACTGCTGTCACGTGGAGTAAAAAACGCTCGCTGGGTGGGTCTTCACAAAGGGCTTCCAGTGGGCACTGAGCTGGGGGGAGGGGCGGGGGGGTGGGGCGGGAGCTGTTTGCATTTTCCACATGAAGGAGCTGAGGGTCTCAGAGACCTCCTGACTTGCCCAGGGTCTCCCCGCTGGGAGAGGAGAACCCCTTGTTGACCCCAGGCTGCATGACTCCGTATCCTGTAGTCCTCCTCTGCCTGGGGGAGGGCGAGTCCCAGGCGGTCCTCTCTTGCCCTGCCTGGTAATTACTGTTTTTTGGCTGGAGGGGTTCCTTGGTTCGGGGCCCCATGGGAGGGAAGTAATTACATCCTTTGAGAGGCCCTTCGTCAGCAGCTCCCTGTCAATCCCTGTAACTAAGTCTTGCTCTGACCTTTGTCCCTTCCCCATTCCCAGGCCAGGGCCTTAGAGAGTTTGATTGGATTTCTGTTTCTTTTTCTTCGGGTTGGTGCTTCTGGTTGCATCTGGCTAGGCCCTCCCACACAGAGGGCCCATCAGTTCTCTTTGTTCAGGCAGATGGGTGCCCTCCTGGGTGGGGGCCGAGGGGAGGGAGAGCTTGCAGATGCTTCTCCACTGGCCCCACCCAGCTATTAAGGGAAAAGTGGCACCCACTGACCGGTGGGATGCTAGCCTGGGCCTTCTCGTAGGGAGAGTCGTCCTGCCCTTGTGTACCTCCGTATTCATGTGCACCTCCGCTCGCTGTCCACCCCCACGGTCCCCGGGTCTTGGCCGGGCTGCTGAGATTCTCACGGGGGCCATCCGGTGCACGCACACGTGCCCACACAGCTGAACGTCTCAGGGACTCCCTATGGCTTTTAGGAAAAAGGCAGAACCTTTTATCATGGCTCCCAAGGCCCTGCGGAATCAGCCCTGCCCACTCCCCTCCCTCATCTTATACCCAGTTTTCTCCCTCTCTACTCTCCAGTCACTCTGGCTTTCCTTCTGTTCTTCTTCCTTACCATATTTTCCACCATTCACAGGGCCTTTGCACCTGACCTTCCCCCTATGTGGAATGCCCTTCCCCCATGTGCCTTTGCCTGGTTAGTTCTTACTTGTCCTTTAGACTCTCAGGCCAACCATCACCACCTCAGACGCACCCTGTCCAGCCCTTCAGTAAAGCAAGGTCCCCGGGGTCATGTGGCTCCCTGCACTTTTCCTTCAGAATGCTTGCATAGTTTGTGATGATGATTTTATTAATATTGGTCTTGTCCGTTGGACTGGAAGCTCCATGGGAGCAGGGACTACTCCGTGGTCTGTTTGACTATGACATCTCTTCCCTCCCCACTGCGTCCCTCGTGCCACACATAGTCGGAGCTCACAAAAGATTTGTTAAATAAAGACCTGTGTGCACAGGATCTCCTCACCTGTCTGACACTGGACGTCGTCTTCAGAAGCCTCCCACCTCCCTACCTTACTCTTGGCTGAGAGTACGCCTGCCACTCCTGAGCTCCCAGGGGTCACGCCCAGTACCACCCCTCTGCCTTTCTTGTTGTGCATATCACCTGGGGGGTTTATAAAGAGGAAGATTATGATTTAGTAGGTTGGGGAAGCCTCGGAGACTCTTCCTTTTTAACAAACTTCCGTGGCCCCGTGCTCCTGGTCAGGGACCACACTTTGGCCTGGCCTGAGAGGTGGGGGTGCCAAGCCCCAGCTGCCCAGAGCCCAGGTCACCACAGAAGACATTGTTTGGCCAGGGACAGGGCCCTGTCCTTGGCTGTGGTGTTTGGTCCGGCCAGGCTGGGGACAGTTGCAGAACTCAGCCTGGTGTGGAGTTGGAAGCTCTGTTCCTACTCAGCTCCTGCACAGCCCTCAGGCCTTGGCTCTAGCTAGGAGCGTGCTGTGGACGGTGATGCCCGGGTGCCACCCTCCGCCTGAAAGGGATTCCTGCGAGGTTGGCACTGTAGGCTCTTACCATCTACAAGCCCTTCGGCTGCCCTCTTTCCCTCCCTGCGTCGTCACAAATACCGACAAAAAGGGAGAGAGGTTCTTCCTGTTTTCTCATGGGGGGAGGGGCTGAGTGAGTGTTGGGAGGAGATAGACGCACCTGTGCTTTGTCACTTCACAGCATCACTGTGGTCCTCACGCACGCACATACCCCAAGAACTCCCATTTTCTTCCTTACCCCTGAGCCCCTCTGCCCGTGGACCTGCTCAGCCTCGGCCCTGCCCATGGGCCTGCTCAGAGCATGAGTCAAGTGCCATTCCCTTCATAGGGGGGGGGGGTGGAGGGCTGGAGAACTCACCCCAGGGCCTGGTGCAGTCAGGGTCTATCTACACTGCCAGCCCGGGGAGGCCCTCGGCCTTCCTTGGTGGGCCTCTGTGATCCTCTCCTGGGAGCCCTGCCAGCCCTAACAGGTTTCTCTGGTGCCCGGGCCCTGTGCGGCTCATAGAAACGAGGGGTGAGGGGGGAGGGCTTCCTGAGGCTGTGCCAGCAAGCTCACCGGAGGCAGCAGTGTGGGCCCGTCTCGGGGAGAACCCAAGCCAAATCCTCTGCGTTGTTCCTTCCCCCCCCCCCCCCCCCCCCTTTCCCCTCGCTTTTTTTCCCCCCCCCCCCCCCCCCCGTCCGGACAGGTCCCTGGATGGCCGCCTGCAGGTGTCCCATCGCAAGGGGCTCCCCCATGTCATCTACTGCCGCCTGTGGCGATGGCCCGACCTGCACAGTCACCATGAGCTACGGGCCATGGAGCTGTGTGAGTTCGCCTTCAACATGAAGAAGGACGAGGTCTGCGTGAATCCCTACCACTACCAGAGGGTAGAGACCCCAGGTAGGCGCCACCTTTCCCAGCTACCTGCCCATCCTCTCCTTCCCCTTTCCGGGGTGTGGGGGGGTCCGCCTTGCATGCGTGCTGGCGGCGCTTGGAGGGCTTGGAGGGTGCCAGCCCGGCCTTGACACTGACCCGCCTCTGCTCTTCTGGACAGTTCTACCTCCTGTGCTGGTCCCACGCCACACAGAGATCCCGGCCGAGTTCCCCCCGCTGGACGACTACAGCCATTCCATCCCCGAGAACACTAACTTCCCCGCGGGCATCGAGCCCCAGAGCAATATTCCAGGTAGGCGCCGGGGGCGGGCGTGCAGGCCTCCGGGAGGCCGGGGCACCGGCGCCCCGACACCGGTCCCCCCGCGGCTCTCCTGGCCCTCCTCGGGCCCGTCCCCCCTCCGCACACAGCGCTGGCCCGAGGGCCCCTGACTCAGAACCGCACCCCCGTTGGGAGAGGACCCGTGGCCTTGGCTCCCCGCTCACTAATGATGCTTTTCTTGGCACGGAGGAGCGGCGGCGTGACCCTTCCGCCCGGGCTCGGTGCAGTCATTTATTTTGGAAGCGGAAATTGCAGCGCTGTGTTTCTCTCACCGCCCTCGCGGCCGAGGCTGGAGTTTGGGCAGGATCCCCCGACGGTCTGGGGGCCTGCAGAGCCGTGGGGGAGCCGAGGGCCGGGCAGCCAGTGCGGAGAACCGGCCCCTAAGTAAGTAAGCCTGGTGGGGGGCGGGCTGCAGCCCGGGTGGGAGCTGAGGCCCGCGTGGAGTTTTTCCTGCACGGGGGAGAAAGTGGGCTCAGCCGTCAGAGCGCAAATGTTTTTAGAAGCCCCTCATTTACATGCAAATAATGTGTGAATCACCAGCACTGGGGCGTCCAGGAAGACTGCTTGGCGGCACTTGGGCTGGTCCCAGTGGCAGGAATCCTGCCGCCTGTCGTTCCGAGAGCGCTCTGATCTGGACGAGCCTCTCACCCTGAGTGAATTCGCCCGTGCTTGAGGTTGACCACAGACCTGTGCGCAGGGGCAGAGCGTTCGGAGAGAGTCCTTTATGGACCCAGCCTTTCCAGGTCCTTCACACGTGGCGCTGGTCCCTGGGGGTAGGTCACTGTGTTCACTGAGCAAACCTTAGAGAGCTAAGTCACCGTCTGGGGTCATTCAGAGAAATAGATCACGGTTACTGCTGTCATTGAACTTGCAGCCCCCTGTGGAAGCCAGGACGTCGCCTAAAGGGATGACAAAGAACAAGGTGTCCGAGCAGGGGTAGATAGCAGAGCCGAAGTGCAGCATGAAGGAGTTGCCCTTGGGAGGACAGAGACGGGCAAGGGTGAGGCAAGTCCACGGCCTCCTTGGAGGGGGGTGGGCTTACACCTGACCTTCCAGGGTGAGGAGCAGTTAGCCTGGCAGAGGCTCTAGGAACAGGTATGTCAGTCTGGGCCACGTGAACAGAGGTGGTCGCCATCCAGCCGAGGAGCCGGGTATCGAAGGGCGTGAGGACCACTGGATCCAGGAGCCGGTGCCGTTGCTCCGTGGCCCAGAGTTCCTCCAGTACCTGCTGCTGGCGTGAATGTGTGATGTGTGCAGCCGGGGTCTCCGAGTCAAACCGTGGAGGCCGCTTAATGAACTGCCTTCCTTCTGATTCCCAGAAACCCCACCCCCTGGCTACCTGAGTGAAGATGGAGAGACCAGTGACCACCAGATGAACCACAGCATGGATGCAGGTCAGAGTCTCAGTCCTAACCGAGCGCCTGCCTTCCCTCTATCCATCCTTCCATCCCTCTCTCCACCATTTATAGAGCAACCTCCATGTGCCCGGCACTGTGCCAGGTGCTGGGGATAGAGGAGGAGCCTGAGCTGCTCCCAGTTGGGGAGGGAGACAACTGGTAGTTATATGCCCTGACGGAGAATGCCCCCCCCCCACCGCTGTGGCATCAGGCACAAGGGAGGGCCTTCTGGGGAGGAGGTGTTGGGGCAGAGAAGTGCCTCACAGTGTAGGTGTCTCTTGAGTCTTGGAGGTGGGTAGGTGTTGGCCAAGCCATCGGGGCAGGCAAAAGGTATGCCAGGCAGAGTCATGGGGCGCGTGGGCAGGACAGCCCGGTGCCTTCAGGGGACGGTGTAGCTGGAGGGGGCGGAGAGGCAGGAAGACCCTCATTCGGGGCTTCCATTGTGGCCGGGAGCCCCCGTGCGCTTTAAGCAGGGTCTGTGCCCCCATGAGGTGCTGCTGGCAGTCGGCTGGTGGGTGGGCTCGATCCCCCGAGCCCAGTCAGGAGAGCCCGCATGGAGGCAGGGTCTTTGCCGGGGGAGGCTGCGCAGCATCTCTTTGTGTATAGTGACCAAACGTGATCGATGTATTCCTGCCATGAGGGACCCAGCCCCGTTGTCTCCAGCCCCATCTCCAGATGTTCCCACGTCATTTGTCTTGGGACCAAATTGGCTCCAAACCAGCGGCTGCTTGAATTGAACCCCAGCTGCCACATAGAATGTGCACTCGTTGTGTGTGGTTGGCGGGGGGCGGGGGGCGTGGAGGAGGAGGAGGGAGCCAAGCAGATGTTCCGTCCTGATGAGAGCGGGCATGCCTGGTCCACACGGCGCCGCTGCATGAGGCAGAGCCACCCACCCTGGCACACAGCCCAGAAGAGGGTGTGAGGTTCCTGCAAGAAGCCCGAAGGAGACTTGCCCGCTCACTGTAGACCTAGCTGCTTGGTACCCAGCCTGGGCGTTGTGGCACGTGGGGGTGAGCACACACACCCCCGCGAGGGGCGGACGGCGCGGACCCAGCTGGAATGCATCGAAGGCCTCCCTGTGTTCAATGCCAAGTGGCCGGGGCAAGCCTGCGGCTCTGCAGCTCTGAATGCCGGTGCGGGACGCAGGCCGGCCGAGCAGCATCTCTCCAGATGCCGCCTGGCTTCTCGCTCCTTTCTCTCTCCCCTCCTAGCTGTTCTTCCTGTTCACGGACCCATTACTGTTGTCAAAGAAAACACACCAGAGGAGAGGGTCCGAGTATCAAGTGAGCAGCCAGCCCCTGTCCCCCTTGGCGCTCGTTTCTCGCCCCCTCCCCGCCTTCCTTTCTGCCCCCATTCTCTCTGTCCCTCTTCTTTCTTCCCCTCCCCCCATCGGCGCACCTGCGGGGCCCTGTTGGGGCTGTCAGTGATCTGTCAGAGGTGGACACTGGGCATTAGGGACCCGTCCCCCCAGCCAGTGGGTGGTTGGGTGGGGTCTCCTGCTTCTCCTCTGTTCTTGACTCAAAACGGTCCACTGGGAAACCAATCGAGTTGCTGTCTTGGCAGCTGAGATGTGCTAGTGTCCTAGTTGGGGTCCAGCCCTGTGGCTCCCCTAACATGCCTACCCCAAATGGGCTGCCACAAAACAGGAAACGAGCATTAATTGAGTGCCTGCTGTGGGCCGGTCATCACACGGCCATTTGTATACTCAGGACCCCCCCTTCACGTCTACAAATCACACAGCGGATGGTATTATCCCATTTACACCTGAAGGCGGGAAAGATATCAAGGCTCAAAGAGGTTAAACCACTTTGCTGAAACCCCACAGCTGATACATTGGGAGCATGCCCGGACTCCGGGGCCAATTTGGAAGCTCTGCCTCTTCCAAGACTCTTCCATAACCCCTGATGGATTGGGTTCAGGAGGAGGAAAAGAAGCCCATGGCTCATCCCTCCCCCTCAAGGAGGTTACAGCTGAGTTGGGGAGCGGGAACAGACCACCATCAACAGCTCAGGGCACCTGTGCGGGCGGACTGGCGTGTCGGGGGGCGAGCGCCGCCCCCCCCCCCCGGGGCTCTTCCCGCATCACTGACTTGCCAGGCCTCTGGGTGCAGGAATGGAGAGATGAGCCCAGTTACTCTGTGGAGAGGCGCCGCTTGGTATTTCTGAAGGCTGATGCCATGTGGCTTTCTCTTTTCTGGGAGCGAGGGGTGGAGAGAAGGTAGCAGGGCAGCAAGCATTGGGTAGGTTTGGGCATTTTCCCATGGGCAGCGTCATGCTTCACGTCAGATGTCCGTCTGGTTGCAGAGTTGTGGGATTTCTTTTTTTTTTTTTTTTAAAGATTTTATTTATTTATTCATGAGAGACAGAGAGAGAGAGAGGCAGAGGGAGAAGCAGGCTGCCAAGGAGCAGGGAGCCCGATGCGGGACTCGATCCCAGGACTCTGGGATCATGACCTGAGCCGAAGGCAGACGCTTAACCATCTGAGCCACCCAG